AAAAAAAGAAAATGAATAAAAGCAGAGCTTCAAATGATTTGATACTACTGAAATCAATGATGACGAGTGAATGAATAATGAATAAAGTTTATGAAACGTGATAATAACCATGTTTTTGATGAAATCAACGAGTGCCTTACATACTGGAGCTATTCTAATTGAAGAAGTTGTATCACGACACGTCAAACAAGAAAATGATAGCGCAACCATCATCTCAACTGCCTCCTGCAAAATATTATTGTCCAAGTGCTCAACAATCATTACGAAAGTAGTAATAATAGTAAAATAGAAAATAGTAAAATAGTAACAATTATATGGAAACAATAAATAAACAGATAAATGTACGACGGCAGTACAATAACGACGGAACAGCAAACAATTTAAAGATTAATTCCTGACATTCCCTTACCTTATCTTGACCGATTTGTGCAGTTACAAAACAGATTGGATCCTCCTTTTTATCGTCATCTAAAATAAAACAAATTCACTTGAGTAGCTACCACCATGTGCTACTGATTCTATTTTTATCAGACCATAATAACAAAGCTAAACACAAATATAGACAGTACTATGGCTGAAATCCATTACACTTCAAAGTTGACTGTATAAAACACTTAATGGATACGATGAATCAATTGCGTGAATAACCATTCTTAAAGCCGACTAGAAATGCCATGAGATGCGTTCAATGTATAACAGTTTGGTTAATGCTTTCACAGCATAGGTGATCTTTAGTTCAAAAATTGAAAAGAATCCATGGAAAAAGTTCAAGTGATCAAAAGCAAATGTATATACTGAAACGAACGATTTGATGAAGGAGCTGATGACGAAGAATCCGAAATATTAAGAATTGATCGTAGCAAGTTGACGCATTCACGTGTCAGCACACATACCATATGCTCGTTATACAACTGTTCTAATGACGGCTCTTCACCTGCGAAACAAATATTCTACAAGTTTCTAAACAAAATAATTTCTAAAAGATTCGCAAAAAAGATAAGTTTTAAGATCAAAGAATGAAACTATAGCTTAAACTGAATTTCGAGGAGAATAATGTCGCTTTATGAAAACGTAATCAATTCGAAAGGTTTCTCTGTTTACGTTATAACTCAACTGAATACTTTTGATATTCACTATGATCCAAATTGCATCATTGGATTGATCACAATAAAGCAACTATTAATAAGAAAAAAGAACTTCAAGCAAAACGAACAAATTTCGACATGCGCCAATTGCTCCCATCTTGCCTGCAATCGCGTTTGGATCTCCGATAAAATTTTGATGAACATCGCTCGAATCTTGTTGTACGCCGATTCTGGACAACAGTTCGATATCGGCCGCCTTTAACAGCCCATGTTCATGAACATTATTCTCTTAACACCCAACTGGCAATTTACTGACATTCATTCGAAAATAATTTTTATCGAATGACAAGATTCCATTCGGCTTTCTTTAAACATGCTCACTGAACGCTTCTGTGAATGAATTTGATATCTGTAAAGTCCAGCCAGCCAACAAATTGATCTAAATTTTAAACAACGGTTCACAAAAGCCCAACTCTGATCTCCAACAACACAAACAGGTATTGAATTCTGGGGAAGCACAATAAATCGAAAAAATTCAAACTGATGGGATTTTAGCAAGAGTGAAATGAATTGAAGATGCAACAACAACACGAATGAATAACCATGAACGTTTGATCCAGAAACGAATTCTGAAATCAGGAACGACATCAATGTGCGACACCAACTGCAACAACCAACTATGCAACGACAACTCTGCGAACAATTCATTCGCCATCTTGCTCGCTAACAGACCGGTTATTGACTGACTGCAATCGTTTACTCTTATTACCAGTACTATTACTCATGCAAATTCCTCTTTTCGAAATTTACGAAACATCAAATTCGGAAAGTTCAAATGGAATCTGTTAATTAGACAACGATAAATAACAGTATAAAAATTCAAACAGACAAACATGCTATCGGTAATATCCGATATGAAACAACGCGCATGGTCTCGTGGGTCCTCAGTGGAAATTCGAGATGAGCATACTGACAGAGGATCAATTGCTGAAATTAATACGACTAGTACGAATGATAACAACACGTAGGCTAACCATTATAATAATATCATTACTATGCACAATAATAACCATAATACCAACAACAGTGGTAATGAAAATGATAACATAATTAGCGATATATATATATGGAATAACTCAAACGTAATTAGAGAAATTATCAGAATTTTTTTGACTGAAAAAATGAACGAAGACAAACCAGAAATTAATTGCTGTCGATCAGAATCAGTGATCTCGATAACAGTCGGTCCATAGGAATGATGAATTTGATTAACAGTTTGTGGTCGATGTAAAGAATTTAATCGCCTGAAGTTGCTGATTCAATGAATTATAAAATCTCAATTGAAAAATTGATAAAGGAATTGAGAATGTGCAAAGACATGAACACGAATGTAACAAACACAACAGCAGTTGTTGACACGATCAAACTGGTGAATAAATGATATGAAAGGATGAAAGGCAGATAAATTAAAAACGTACTCAACTAGTGAGAAGATAATCGGCAAAATAGGTTGAATAATGGAGAATGCAGGATGAAGTGGAGGTGAAATTGATCGTACTTGTGTCAGAACACCTTCGACAGCACTTAAATGTGACCGCAACTGCAAAATTTTACAGTGACTATCATCATTGTTGACATCATTACAGACGTACATTCGTCCGTTACCATTATTACTTAAGTGTGTATAATCTAATCTGGTTAATGAAACGATCACTGATACATTTAACCTTTCAGGATGCAGTTTCTGTAAATAAGTAATTCATGTTTTCTCAGATTTTCCCCTTTGAAAATCACCAATCTTCTCGAAAGAATTAATAGAGGAATAGTAACGTTAATCGCTTTTAAATAATCTGAAACCTACTGATGGCCAACAAATTTATATAAATAAATAACTCACATAACGCCTATTAGATACGTATAATGACAGTTGTGCATCGTCATTAGTCAACGGCGCTTGGGATGTAAAACCGATATATGATAAGAATTGAGCATCGCTTTTTAGAGCACTGAAATTTCACCGATTGATCTACTTAGTTCACATAAACTAAAATATATTTTGAGTTCGAAGTTTTGGAGGAAAATTTGAAATTTGCTTGAGAAGTGAATATTGATGAAACAAATAAGAAAATAAATAAGTGACTCGATGAGTTGCGATGAACTGAAAAACGCAATTGAATCGTGCAATGTCGACACCAGGAAATTATGTTGTACATTGAAGTCAACACATAAATTAGACAGCGCTGCCAGCAGATGTGTACACGTAGCCTGCTGCATCAACGATAATGAATTACGTACCGACAAACACAACTCCAATATCGACTCCGCTTGATCCTGAATTGAACACTGCTTTGGAGGGTTTTGAATGCACATTCATATCTTCAATTGAACGCAATCGAATACTGACGAAACAATCGTAATGAATAATGATAACAAACAATCAACAATCACTACTTTTCAGTGGTAATCACAATAATACAATCGCTCAGACCTTAACTGCATCCGAGAACGCTGTAATTAGTCGAAGTAAAACTGATAAACAATGCCGTTTCATCGTTTTATCATCGTCCACCACATCAACTAATAAACGCCGAATCTGAAATAGCTTTCATGTTTTCGTTGGGACCATTAAAATTGGAACTGATTAATTCATTCCATACTCAAACGGACTGTTCCATGAACAATACTTCGTTGAGAATCAAATCGATATCACGTAATACTAAATCCAGCATTTTGATAGCAATCATTCACACATAAATTCTTTCACGCCCCGGCCAAGAATGAACTGCAAATGAATGAGATGGAGGATTTTGAACAGTGGAGATAGATCATAACTACCTGAATAAGGAATGAAGACAAACGGTCAGGTCGAGTTGTTAGTATGATGAAAAGTGATGAGACTACGGAGAGCAATCGATTTATGAGAGTAATATCTGTTGAGGTTGATATTTGTGATAAGACACCATCGAAGAGCTCTGTGAAAACGTTCATCTGTTGCTAAAAATGAAATTTTGTGCATGAGACTATGGTTCACCTTTAATCAAGCCATTAAACATGACAGTTAATACAAACAAGATCATCACAAAACTTTTAAATAAAAGATTCAAAAATAATGAACCTCATGAATTCTATGAGAATTAATCTTATGCGGTTAATCGCACTAAAATTATATGACAATTAATGAATGTGTCCATAAGAAGTGCCAATTGATGATAACTACCTCAGTGATGTGTTTCTCTTCATGACAACCCGACAACACCGTTCTTGAATAGCGCTGCATTGCATCCCATTCCATCTCACTTACTATAATTAGTCATCATCGCACATAACTTTAGTTAATACATCAGAGAATTAATCAACTTGAGTTGATAAACAACAGATAAGATAACGCTACTTAAATATCTCCTCAACCATCAATGATCGATTGCATGAATAATGCCCAAACAGATCATCATTAAACTACTCCGTTGTTGTCATCGGTAACCATTACTGATAATAACAACGGAGTATTTTAATATCACACAACGCAAAAGACTAACCACACTGAGGTGATGAAATACAACGATTTCGGATCCAATCCTCAACAATTTTACATAAATTTGGCGCATGTTTTTCATCAGCACACGCGTAACGAATGATACGAATACAACGATCACGAAATTCTGAAAATTTACTGAAGCGCAATAATTTCAATTGGTTCGATTGATAGAATGAAGCAACGCTTCGATGCAATTCGGGCAAATTTAAACGTATCGAATCAAAGAGAAAATTTATAGTACACGGAAAAATGAAGAACTAACGAATGAAATCGTGCATAAACTGCATATCGTCGTCGTAATCAATCTGTGAATATGCACAACTGCTTGAATCATTTGAAGATGGCAAACCAATTTTTTGAATGAGTTTTGGTATTTCGATTATTATTCGTGAGGTTAATTCACTGAACATTTGATTGTGACAAATCTTCGCATCACTCATAAATGATACCAATACATTTGAGGACTCATTTCGTAGATACTTAAAAATTCATTAATATTATCGTAATTATGAAAATACATCATTCAGTCATTGATCTGATCTGATGCTTTCGACCGAACCCATTATAAATACAAACATCGGAACTAACGATATTACGAACATCAGGTGGAAATTCAAATTCATCTACGGCAAATCAGAAGAATCAATCAATCGAACATTAACTGTAAGCTCTTCCGAAGTCATTGTAAAATTTTAGTCACTATCATGAAGTACTTCAGTAATCATGAAACTTTAGTTTTTGAGAAGGAAACGAACGAAAACTCGAGGATACAATAAGGCTATTCATAGAATATGAATTGAACGACAGAATATGATCCGGAAGAATGAAAGGAATGTAATGAAATAAGGAAAGACCAACTGACTAGTGAGGGATGCTGGAAGAATGCGTCGACTGCCAACAGAAACATATCGAAATTCGGTGGTTCCTTTTGCCAGACGTCACATAAATGTGTTCCGAGTGCTGACAATATATCACAGATCACTTTCAAATATCGATAATGTTCTACATTTTCTGCGTTCACATTTGCTGATTCTCTGAAAAGCAGTGACTTTAACAAGAAATTAGTGTAGACACGCTCATTCATATTGGGCTTAGGAAAAGAAAACGGCGTGAAGTAAGAAATTTGTTGATACGTATTTGAGAAGATATAATAGATGATGAGAGCCTCATAAAAACAAAACATCAAACAAAAATGAAACGAACACAGCCGAATCGAGTATCGTTTTCATTGGTAAATCTCCGAATAATGCCACAACAATTATATTTTCGTCATTTTTTGCACGACGACGAGACGACAAACGCCACAGACATCTTGCTGCCTTTAAATTAATTGTTTATTTCTGAATTAATTAATTGTTTCTGAATGCATCCATATCAAATACCCCACTGATACTGGACGAAAAGCAGACACAATTTAGAAACTGAATTCATCACAGGTATCCAGAACTTATAAGGTGTAAGTGAAATTGTTGTATGTTACAATCCAGAATAAACCTTAATAAATATTTTTAGTTACCGCATGGATAATCCATATTAGCTAGTTCCTTGTACAGTCCGTTCCGGAGGGATTCATAAATATATTTTTCCAGGTTACGAAAGTTACAAGACTAAAAGTGTTAATAGATTACCGCTAAAGTTACAAAACCATAATGCAAAACAATTTGCACGAGTGCCACTGATTGATATTCAACAAATAACAACAAATACCAAGTCATAAGCTGAACCATTCAATGTCTAGCGAACAAAACATAATCATAAAAGAATAATTGCAATAACTTACGAACTCATAAATCGACAACTGAGGCTTTTTGAGATATTCGCAAATAACTTTGAGGATATCGTTGAGAAATGGTTCAAGAACTTTTGCTGACACCCACTCGACTATTTCACTCAGCAAACATATCGCGCATCGAGCCAATAATACTGAGTCAGCTTGAAAGTATCGAAGTTTGTACTCGTTATTCACGTTTATCATGCTCACTATCCAAAGGTTATACAAAATCCTTTAAATATCTCTTTTGTTGCACTGATTTTTTGCTTTTTTGTCTAGTGTATTTAACATGTTATGAGAAGCACTAAATGAAACTAATCACTTGATGATCAGTTATGTGAAAGTGAAAGAAGAATGAAAAAAAAACTTTAGATAAAGCAATTTCCATAATGTGAAATCAATGTAAATATAGACTTCTTTTGAATAAGCTGAACCAATTGAAAAATTTACCATCAGTTGACTGTGAGCATTTGATTAGAGTTGAAATGGACAATTGAAAAAGAGCTGATAATCGCAAGCTGATAGCGTTGTTCAACTCTCTACGTCTAGATACGTTCTCAACGGTTCCCATTGTGATAACATCTTCAATGAGACGTTGTAGTATTATGAACGGTAATTGTGCGTGTATTGTTGATGTGGATGACAACTGAAACAAACCAAATTTTGCTTACTCAGCTGACTTAACTGGTGAGACTTTCGACTGGTCATTTCACCGTTGAAATCAGATAGCTGATTAACAAGGAACAATGCAAAAACGAATGAACTTGTCCTACACAGCGTTAGCATACAAACAAGGATGTCGAAAACAATCATAATACCTGATCCAATTGGTCGAATAATTCCGGCCAATTCTGAGGCCATTCATGTTCAATCATGGCAACAATACATCTGGATGAAGCGTTCCGTAATTCGGAATGTCTCATTCGATCAGAGCACATTTCCAGAAAACAATTATTACGCATTGTTAACCGTGATTCACAATTCAATTCCAGCCATTTGAATCTAAAGCGGATATCTATTTAGCATTCAGTTACACAACAAATTCATTTATTTTATTAGGAATTTAATGCTGAAGCATAATTTCATTACTTTCATTATATCAAACCCAGTTGTTATTTCATCAAAGAATCAAATAATGAAACATTTCCCAAACATCGATGATGAACTTGAAAAGAAATGCATTCCACGCACATATAAGGATATTGAATTCAAGAAACGCCCATACACTTCTCCCCATACAAAAAAAAACTTGACCATTCTAACATAATGATC